TTGAATATTAATTAATTATATGTAAAAAAATTATTTTTTTATATTAATTGGTGGGGAATGGGGATCGCCATGGGGATCCCCATTCTCCGCGGGGAACGGGGATGGGGGGCAAATTTTGCCCCCCACATTAAAAATCCCCGTGGGGATCCCCGTCCCCACCATTTGCAGGGATGGGGACGGGGAGGGACTCCCCGGCCCCGCGGGGTCCCTTTGACATCCCTCGGTGTCCACATTTCAAATGCAAAGCATTTGATCCTTCAACCCTTCCCCTTCCCCTTCCTTTATGCAGAAAAAAGTTTATGATGAAACCTATACTTCTGCCTTTGTTGGTATTGCATTCGTTCCTTCATCAATAAATGGTGAATATGTGGCTATATTGGGTAATAAAAGTTTCTAATGGACAATGTGGCAGAAAGGAAGATAACAGATTTTCTCACACTTATCTCTTCAGCTTTTCTTTGATAGTACTGATGTTACTAACTTTTTTCCAACAGAACACTGGTAAACAGTAGTAAATACTAAATAGTTTATTGAATTTGTAAATTTAGTTTCTGTGTCATGGACTTGGATACTGGTAGTATTTGGTACCTAAACATATATATAAGTTCTAAATAAAATTTCCACTTGATTTCCTTTAGGGAGTGAAGGGCACACATTAGAGGAAGCCAAATCTATCAATCTCTCTCTGAGTGCTCTAGGGAAGTGCATTAATGCATTGGCAGAGAATAGTTCTCATGTCCCAGTTCGTGATTCAAAGCTCACGAGGTTGCTTCGTGATTCTTTTGGAGGTAAATAGAAGGGATTTTGATCAGTTCATCTGCTTTTGTCTTTTCCCTCTCTTCATCATCATCATCATCTTCTTCTTCTTTTGTTTTTTGTTTTTCATGGTGTGCAATGTGTCTTCATTCCTCAGAACTGGGAATAGATTTAGGGGGAAGGATTAACATGGCTGAAATTTGGTTCATTGAGCTATTTTAGCCCCAATTGACTCTTTTTTCTTTCCCATGTGTTAAAGAGGTTTCTGTGAAATACATGGACATATTTCATTTTAAAGTTTCGTTTTAATTTTCATACTCTTCACAGGGTGCCACTGAACATTGAAAGGCTAGTATCCTCTGCATTGCAATTTGTTTTGCCTGATATTTTGATTCTTTGGCAGGCAGTGCAAGAACATCATTGGTTATAACCATCGGTCCATCTCCTCGTCATCGTGGAGAAACTGCCAGTACAATAATGTTTGGACAGAGGGTGGGTTAAAAATTCCACTTCCTTTCAGCTATAACTTTTTATTATATGATTTAATGATACATATGAGTAGCTGGACGAATTGTCATATCTTCATAGCTATGGTTTTACTACTAACATAATCAAAGCAGTGAAATATTTCTTGCTTGCTTGGATCTGGATTCTGGATTGCAAAGTTTGTGCATGCCTGCATGGTGGCTGCCATTGCTTTCATGGGGGACTTAAACAATTTTTTGTTGTACCTTCTGATTGTATTTACTCTTTATATTTTTCCCTCCTTAGGCCATGAGGGTAGAGAACATGTTGAAACTAAAGGAAGAATTTGATTACAAAAGTTTGGCTAGAAGGCTAGACATACAGTTAGACAAACTGCTTATGGAGCATGAGAGGAAGCAGAAAGCATTTGAAGATGAAATTGAACGAATAAACACAGAAGCAAAAAACCAAATTTCTGAGGCTGAAAGAAACTATGCAGATGCGTTGGAGGTAAGCATTTGTACCATTTATGTTTGACATAAATCTTGATTGTTGTTGTTGTTGTACCTGCAATCATGCATAGAAGAGAGAACTTTTGGGTTTACTTAATTGGCTTACATGGCAAAGCTGTTTTTATCTAGTTGAGCATTGGGTCAGTTGTTACGTGTTAGCTTGCTTTTGGCATTTGCTATCGCGACTTGATGCTTAAAATGATTAATTACCATCTGAACTGTGTAATGGCAGATCCTACTATTTGTTTTGCCTCTAGTTAGATCATACTTGGTCATATACTCATATTTGAAAACTGACATTTTATTTGTGTAGAGGGAAAGATTGAAGTATCAGAAAGACTACATGGAGTCAATAAAAAAGCTAGAGGAGAAATGGATGATGAATCAGCAAAAGCAGAGCAGTGAACGAAAGATTGTTGGGCTCCAAGATAGTAATGATATAAGTTCCAATGGAAAGGTAACTACATGATAGGACCATATATCTTGTCCTATTATATCAATGCAAATCTGAAATTTGAGAGCCACACTCCATTTATCATATTTTTCTTGCACCTTTTTAAATAGGATCACGCAGCTGCTGAAGTCACAGAAATGAAAAGGTTACTTCAGAAAGAAACTTCACTAAGGAAGGCTGCTGAAGAGGAAGTCAATAATCTTAAAAATCAAATAGCTGAAATGAAAAAGTCAGAGGTATATATGGTACCTCACTCAGTATTCTCATATATTGTTTGGCATAGCTGTTCTATGCTGCATCTTGTACATATAGGCTCCTGTTACATGAAGCCATATTTTTACTCTAATAGGGATCAGAAACTTCAGAGATGTTAAAACTTAGAAGGATGCTGGAAGATGAGGCATGTCAAAAAGAGAAACTTGAAAGGGAAATAGCAATGCTGCAGAGTCAGTTATTGCAACTAAGTTTTGAAGCTGATGAGGTATGATGTAGAAAAATGAGTATGTTGGTTATAGTCTTACATATTTGTTTATACATTATCTTGGATCTGAAGTTAGTGACCATGTAACCATAGGGTCTCCTTTTGGTATGTTGGCTCCAATTCTCTGATATTACATTAATGGCCATCTAAAGAACCTGAATGGGAAATTTTCAAGGCATTAACAAGTTGAAATTCTTAAATTTATGTAAGTTAGAAGAAGCTTGAATTAGTTAAAACATGTAAATTACTTGCTGGAAACCAGTATTTGTAAAAGATGAACTTCATGTATTTGTATTCATATTATTTGGGATCTCAAATTTTGGAATCTGATATAATAAGCAGATAAGTAGGCAGTCCCCAGACATCATTTCTTTTAGTGCACTAATTAGTCAAAACTGAGCATCAATGGCATGAATGCTCATGCTTCCACAATGGATCTGAAGTTTTAACTTGCGCTTGTCATGTACAACATTATAGACTCGAAGAAGGCTTGACAGAGGTGGGTCTGGGAAAATTTCTGGTGGTCTAGACTCTCTCAATTCTCAAGTTAGGCATTCACAGCCCAGAGATACAGGAAATGGAGATAAGACCTCAATAGCCAAACTCTTTGAACAAGGTGCTAGAAATACCTATGCTGAAGCTTTTTTATTGCTATTCATTCTTTTTTTTTTTTTTTTTCATTATAATACAATCCAGTGATCTTGCAGTGGGATTGCAAAAGATCTTATCATTACTTGAAGCAGAAGATGCTGATGTGCGGATCCATGCTGTGAAAGTGGTAGCGAACCTAGCTGCTGAAGGTTGGTTTGCTTTCTTCTTTTACTATTTTGTTGCAGCACTGGCTAAATTTGTTATTTCTTGAGATTTCTCAAAGTAAAGCTTGATAGGGAAAAAGCTATTTCCAAAGCTTTTTGTTGGAAGTTGTTCATTGTTCTGCAGTTCCTGTCTTAATGTTCACTAGCCTTTGAGAGGTTCTAAGATGTTAATTCTATTACATTTCAGTTAGTCCATGAAATTTATTTTCTGTGCCAAATTTCTCTTCTGCAAAGATAACAATTATGATTGTAGTGGGTTTCTAACTATTTTTGTTGATAATAATGTATAATGTAATTCATCTGTTATCTGCAGAGGCAAATCAGCAGAAGATTGTAGAAGCTGGTGGTCTTACATCCTTGCTGATGCTGCTTAGAAGCTCTGAGGATGAGACCATACATAGGGTGGCAGCAGGTGCCATTGCCAATCTTGCAATGAATGGTAAATTTTGATTTTATTTTATTTTTTCACTTTTGTGATATATTCTGCTACTTTTTATGGAAATTCCCCTTTATTAATAGTACTTTTTTATGTTTTCAGAAACCAATCAAGAACTCATAATGGAAAAAGGGGGCATTAGTTTGTTGTCAATTACAGCTGCCCATGCTGAAGATCCTCAAACCCTGAGGATGGTTGCTGGAGCCATAGCTAATCTCTGTGGAAATGGTAAATTAGTTGGCCAATTTGATGTTGTTGACTTTATTTTTTATTATTATTATTATTATTATTATTATTTTATAATGTGTGTTGTTGCCTGGATAACTTTCAAAATCAATAAGTCAGCTTCTCATTCACATAACATAATCAAAATTTGCTCATGGAAATGGAAAATTTGAGTGGTTATTTCTTTCTTAATTTTACTCGGGGAGGATTTTTTAGTTCATCCAGAAGAAAAGCTAAGGGATTTTTCTTTCAAGCTTATCTGCTGGGGAGAAGAATTGAGGGGTGTGAGAGCTTAAACTAATTATGAGATTGGGTTTAAACAATTACATTGCTGCATTAACACGTGATTCTTTTAGCACTTGGAAGTTCATTTTAGTATAACCGTTTCTGTTGAAATATCCAGATAAGCTGCAAACAAAACTAAGAGATGAAGGTGGTATTAAGGCTTTGCTGGGAATGGTCAGATGTGGACACCCTGACGTTCTTGCACAGGTTGCTCGTGGAATAGCAAACTTCGCTAAATGTGAATCAAGGGCATCAACTCAAGGTATAATTATAAACAACTGTAAGGAAGATACGTTGATGTTAATGATATCTTTTTTCTTTTGTTTTTTTTGGGGTACATGATGTTAATGATATCTTGATTAGGCATTTACTCATTCTTCTTAGCATTCCATCTCACTGAATTTCAGGATACATCTATTAATGTCTATAGTGTCCAGTCAATCTTGTCTTCCTAATTTTGGTTCTTCCTAATTTTGGTTCTGTAATGGTACAGGAACTAAAACTGGAAGGTCTCTTCTTATCGAGGATGGAGCACTTCCATGGATTGTACAGAATGCCAATAATGAAGCCTCTCCAATCCGGCGACATATTGAGCTTGCACTCTGCCACTTAGCTCAACATGGTAAGTTCAGTTTTTGTTTACACTCTTTTTATAAGCGAGTCCCTCACTGGAAGTCACCTTTTAAAGCATGGATTTACTGCATTGTAGAAGTGAATGCAAGAGACATGATCAGCGGAGGTGCATTGTGGGAACTGGTGCGCATCTCACGAGACTGTTCACGGGAAGACATAAGGACTCTTGCACATAGGACTCTTGCTGCAAGCCCCGCCTTCACAGCAGAGTTGAGGCGACTACGAATAGACTATTGATGAAATTGCAAGAAAATAAGCCTAAAGGTCCATTTCAACTTGTAAACCAGGGTTGAGGATCATAGTTTCCTCGGCTAAGCAAACAAGAGTGTTTGCGGCAGTGTTCCTGTGATCGTTTTGCCATGAAGTAGTCTGCTCAACATTTGTAGTTGATTACGCGTAGAATGTCTAATTTATTAGTCAATTTGTTATTATGTAATCTACATAGAGTATTTTTCATGAAACCTGCTGCAGTTTCTAATTTTGTATATAACTTTGTATATGAAATGAATTTTGAAGTGACTAACTTCCAAGCGTTTTCGTCTATAGAAATAAGTTTTATTTTGTGAGGATTGATTTGTTTTGAAAGAATTTGTTCTCTTCGTAATGGTGCATCCCAGTAGCTGTTCTCTAATGTATAAATCTTCTTTGATTGTAAACAATAATGATTATTAGTTGTTGAGAATTGGTTATTAGCTGTATCTAAACTATTAAAGTTTCCACCAAAAAAAAAAAAACCTATTAAAGTAAAAAAATAAAAAATTTGAAGTAACCATCTACGACATTGAATCTCGAGTGCATGTAACATGAAAGAAAAGCAAAATCCAATTTGCAAGAGTTGAAGGAAGGCAGGATTATCCAATTTTCAAGAGTTGGAAGGAAGGCAGGATTATCATCAATTCAATAGCTTGGGGATAAGAAAGCAAATGAATTTCTCCAGCTTTGAGCTTCAAGATGGTGGGGTTGCAGTGCAGAGATTCTGAATCCGTTCATGGCTCTAACTTTCTACAGATACAAAGACAGAGAACCCACCTACGTACCTTGTCCTAGTAATTACATGTTGCCTTTGCCTCGAAAAGGAGCTGGTTTCAGAGCAGTGCACGTGTAACCCAGTACCCAAATATTTTCCATGTCTCCATAATCATAAAAACCCTAGCTAAATCTCCCCACACACATTCAATTCATCAAGAGAAAAGAATAAAAAGCCCATACCTCTTTGCTTCCTTCCCCTAAATACTTTGCCATATATACCCACTTGAAACAGTCTCTAACTCTTATCAAACCTTTAATTCAATCCTCCTTTCACCTTAATTTGTCGGTTTCCTTGTTAACATAAATAACAGTCCAAATCATCATTGTACTCTATAAGTTAATAATAATCTTATATGTATAATACCCCTTTTCCTTTTGTTTGTTTTTTTTTGAAAATAGGTAATGGATTTTCCTTTTGAATGTTGAAATCGAAAAAAGTGTAGAGACAATGTGGGGTTTGATCAATAAGAAAAGCAAAGAGTTTGGAGTGGAAAGAAGAATATTGAACCCCAACTCCTAATTTTCCAAAGTAGAGTTTTGGATATTTGAGAACAGGAAGAGATTTAGAAAAGAGAAATGCTACAATCTAATTTGTATTATGATACTAAAAAAATGGAAAGAAAAAATATAAATCCATGACTAGCTAGCATCTTCAATTCTTTGCGAAACATACTATATATATATGAGAGAACTCCTTGAGCCTGCAAAAGAAAAACAATGGTAAATGTGGAATAATTAATCATATTTTTGTTCATCACACTCACAGTATATATAGCTTTCTTTGCTTGTTCTTCCTCTTTTTCAATTAGTTATTAGACCATAAAATGGAGAAACTTATTCTCATAAGATGATCAAACACATAAAAAATCCATAAAGTTACAGTCATTCTTAATCAAAACATACTCCAAATTAACATCTACCTCTACCCATCAAATTCAAAGCTACAATTAACATAACAAATAAAGAAAGAAAACCTGATCATACGATGAAATGATGCATGCATATATATGTATATATATGCTCAACAAAGCAAAACCCAAATTAATTTCATTTTCTAGCTATCAAGTTTGTGTGCTTCCTGTTAAACCTGAAGGTGAAGCTGAACAAACCCATGATACTAATAGGGAGGGCGCACACCAGTAGCCCAGAATGCCTCAGTTGGCAATTGAATAGAGTTGAGAAGATTAGGGGGTAATCCATGAAATAGAGGCGCATTCGACTCCGCCATTACTTGCTGCTGTTGCTGTTGTCCAACTGCACCAGGTGACCCAAGTGCACCACCCTGTATTGGCATCTGCGCCTCTTCCTCCTCCAGCGGGAGACGCTCGTACGCGGCGTTGCTAAAAGAAGCAGCCATAATCACCACTGGCCCTGAACAAGTCAGCGTCCCAACAACGCTGCCTCCCACCACCTGCCCTTGTCCACCAGCTAAGTATATGGTAAACCCGGATGCTGCTGGCGGTGCTGGAGGGGGCAAGAACGATCCCGCCAGTGACAATATCTCGAATCGGCCATGTAATGTGACGATTGCACCTGGGGATGCCGGTTGCCGGAGGGTCACGTTGGTGACGGTGCCAGTCCCGCTCATTATGCAAACCCCTCTCTGACGTCGCCGAGCGAATGTGGTTATGCTCTCGACGATGTCGCATCCGTCTCCGATTTCCATAACGTGGGTACGCAACGCGTTGGCGCTGTCCCGGGTGATGATGATGGGCGGTTTTGGCTTGTTCTTGGATCCAGCAGGCCTCCCTCGTGGTCGTCTCGTGATCTCTCCTTCTCCAGGAATGAAGTCCTTGCCGTCGTTGCTGCTGTTGTTTTCATCTCGATCTCGTTTCTTGAGGCCGCCACTACTGCCACTTTGTTCGTCTTCGGAATTCTGTTGCTGCTGGTGGTGGTGGTGGTGGAACTGTTCTTGTTGCTGATGAAGATTAAAATCTCTTAGATGGAATGAAGGGGGAAGCGAATGTCCATGAGCCGTCACTGGATCCATGCTTTACCAATTCTTCTTCGTTTAACAATCTAAAAGATCTCACTTCCTCTTCTCACATAGATATGTAATAGATTCTTTTGAAAGGAAGGAGGATAGTGGACGGAGAAAAAGAAAAAGGGTTTTTTGTTTTAAAAAAAAAATAGATGAGAAAGTACACTACATACTGTTTTGCTGCTTGGTTTCTTGGTTTAAGAAGTTGTTTGATGAGCTAAGAGTATCTTTGCCCTGACTAAATTAGGAGCTGAATTTGACTACATCTGAACTAGCTATTTTTGTGAAGAATTGTTGAGGGTTTGGGGAAGAAAGAAAAGAAGAAGAGGGGGAGGGGGGGGTGGGGGCTTGTTCGGGGGTTTCGTTGATGGTAGGTGGGGAGAGGCTAGTGACTGTAATTGGGTTAGGGTTAGATAATAAGTGTTAAAAAAATATAGGATGGGAGATGGGTAAGTGACTGCGTGGGTTTTGGGGCGGTGGGATGAGGTCCCCACTCCCCACATCTCTTTCTCTCTCTCTCTCTCCTTTGTTTCCAGCACTCCCTGTTCTTTTTTTAACAAATTTTTTTTGAACATATTGCAATTATTTACATGTTAATCGAAAATTATCTTTTGTTTTCAGCACTCCATGTTCTTTCTTTAACAAAATTTTTTTAAATATATTGCAATTATTTACAGATTAATTAAAAATAATTTGAACATATTATAATTATTTACAAGTTAATTGAAAATTCAAAAAAAAATTTTCGTAAGATTCAAATGTACAACTTACAAAAGGTAAATAGCCATAACCAAGGGTACATTACCACTGGTCGCAACGGATTGTTCTCTCTCCTTAAGAAATTTATTACTTGACAATAAACATCACTAGTAAGGTAGAAATTTTTGTTTATTTTTTTAGCGGCAAAAGAAGCATTAGTCTTCGTTTGAGAAAGGTTATTGATGTTTTAATTTTTAATTTTTATTTTGTCTTTTTACCATCTTAAAAACATTTAAAATATTAATTAAAATAAATATTAAATATAAAGAATAATGTTTGTTAAATAGGACTCTAAAAAATTAGAAAGAAAAAAACCTCCAAAATTATATTATTTTAATAAACTCATATTGAAAAAGATTAAAATAACTTATTTTAAAATTAGAATTGAGTTTATTTTGGTATTTTTTTCATAGTATTTTAATGAAACAATATAGTTTTGAAATCTTTTTCCTTCTAATTTTTTTAAAAGTCCAACTAACAAATACTTTTGTCATATATTAAATATATTTTATATTAAAAGATAAAAAAAAAACCTTATTGCTACAAAGGCAATGCTATAGGGACAACCTTTTTATACTTTTTTTTTTATACAACTTTCACATGTTATTAAATGAATAGATGCATTCAATCGTGGGTTCCACATGAATTATAAAAACTAATCATTTAAATGACACGTCAGGTTATATAAAAAGGTGATACAAAAATAGTCTCAAAATCATTTCCTTAGCTACAATTATAACCCAACACTTCCAAACCAAGGCTTACTTTCATATTGTTTATATATTAATTTAGAAACCTAATATTTATATGGAAAAAGTGCATATCAATTCTGATTCTCAAAAATAGTTAGAGTTCTAACATTAAATTACGTCGTTTTATTTAATTAAAAATCAATTTAAAATTAAAAAAAAAATTATCTCATTAAATGTTATGGGTTTCCAAATTTAGATATCAACATTTAATATGATAAGATTTCAATTTTTAGATATAGGTTGAAACTTCATTTGTTTTTAAAAATCAAGATTGATATACGTTAATATTTATTTATATTATGAGTAGTATGTAATATCATGAAATTGTATAAACTACAGAGAAATTTATTACTTAATTTAATTAGTTTGATCCTGAAGTCCTTGTCTGCAGAGAAATTCAACTAGCTAGTTCTGTAGGTTGACTTCTAAACTGTACTCTTCTTCTTGCTGTCCTAAGCACACATATAATAAGTGTTTTCCTTCCTTAATTTCTTGGACATGTTGTTTCTGTTACTGTATATATATGGACTTTAATCAAGTAACAAGGTATAGAAAAAGATCACACTACACACAACTAATAAGTTATGCATAACCAGCAAACTTTATTAGTTGTATCATTAAATTGGCAAAAGCATCTCAAACTACCCATTTTCGATGAAAACCCCAGAAAAGATTAGCCAACTAAGTGAAACTTGCACCAATAACCCATTAGTTTAAGTAAAATATAAGTTTAATTTTTTTTAAAATAAGATCTTAAATTTGAGTTTTATAAATAATTAAAGAGACAAACGTTGAAATTATGAGAACTCACTTTATGGGGTTCAATTTGATTTGATTCTAGATTGTTTAGATATCAATGTAACTTTTGGATATTAAAGATTTAGTTAAAAAATAAAAATAAAAAATAAAACTAAGTGAAGCTTGCTTCTCAGTGAACTACTATAATTAGAAACCGTAGCTGAAAGACAGTCTCGCGCATATTATATGTACCAGGAAATAGTTCTTGTTTATTTGATGGTCTAATTTTTTTTGAGCCAGATATTCTGTGCTACTTTCTATATATATATATATATATATATATATCACTTTCTCCTGTATCTTTTAATTCCTAAAAAAAAAAATGTTGTAAGATCTAAACTAGATCAAAATTGTTCAACACTTACTATTAAATTAAGAGTGCCTTAATACAACCCTTATTTAATAGTTTTTATTTTACAGTTTCGTACAATTTATATTACAGAATAAAAAACTTATTTCTTAATTCATGATATATTTTAACATTTTTGGCAATTTATAGAGTGACACAAAAAATGTTAACTGAAAGAACTAATATCACACCAAAAAAATAAGAAAAAAAAAATGATTTAAGTAGGAAATGAGCTATTTTCTTAGGGTTTGTCTAACATGTGGCACATTGAAAACTGTCTTAAATTCATCTTTTATGCATTAATTTACATAAAAAGGTTGACATTGATTTTAACACTCAGTGGATATTTTTTATTGAATAATTAGTAAAATTAATGTTAGTTTTTATTCTACCATGTATTTGATAATAAAAAAGTACAATAAATACAAAATTCTTTTTATTTATTGTTAATTAATTTTAAGTTAAATATAAACATGTGTTATTAGAATCTTACTAAACTTTCATAAGTGTGGTTATAGTCACCAATAAAATTATTAAGGCGATCAAATTTATATATAATTTGATTGATATTTATAATTTTTTTCTTAAACAAATAATTAGGTTTGAAAATTGATTTATAAATTAATTTTAATTTATTAGGTAATAAACAGTGGCGGAGCCAGGGGTGCGAGGGGGGCGCTTGCCACCCTGAAATTTGAAAATCTTGCAAATCAGTATATAATTAGTATATGAAAAATTATCTAGCCCTCCCTGAACTTTAAAAATTTTAGCATCTTGCCCCCCTGAAGAAAATTTCTGCCTCCGCCCCTGGTAATAAACATTAATTATTTTATAATTATTAATTATTTTTAATAACTAAACTAAACAAATTTAATATTTTTTAGTATTATTTAAATAACTTTAATAATTTCATTAGTGACTATAATCACTCTTACATTTCGGTATCTGTTTAAATTTTGTTACAACAATTATTAGTTGTTTTCTCTTTTCTTTGAGAAAAGAACGACCCTTGCCATGAGGGTTGAGGTGAGGTCCACACGCACCCATAAGCAAGAAATAAGTGTTAGTTCACTCCTCTCCCTCGATCTTCCATAAAGATGAGTACTCCTCACATGCAAACAAAACAAGTGCCACGCCTCCTTTACATAAATTTCGTTTCTGAAGCTAATTTTCCAAACAATTAATTATGCTCCAATTACTAGTTAATGGAGAGTTCGTCTACTGGTCAAAATATTCACTCCCTTCTGTGCTATCTTCACAAGATGTACATTTTTTTTTTTTTTGGTTCTTATATATAGAAGAAACTTTTGTTTTCTAGTTCAAGATAAATTAAGGATAACATATTTATTTACCATGGGTAAGTGTAGTTTAGTCTCCAAATTTAAGGATAACATATTTATTTACCATGAGTAAGTGTAGTTTAATCTCCAAATTCTATGCTCCGTATTATTATTTTTTTTTATTTTTTTAACGTTGGGATGGAACTTCAATTTCAAAATTTAAAGTTTTCATAAAAAAAGTTCTTAAAAATATGACGAAGAACGCTAAATTATTAGAATGATGATCACTAAACCATTAAAACGAATTTCAACTTTACACTTTAAAATTTTATAAAAAGTTCTTAATAATAAAATGATGACTACTAAACCGTTAGAATGTTCTCCTATGCTTCGAATTACAACTGAAAGCTAATAATTAGAAGAAGAAATTAAGCTGTGCGTGGTTGAATTTATATATTTAAAGGGGGATTAGTAGAGGTACAGCGTGGAACGAAGATGAAGGTGGGTTTGACACTTAAGCGCATAATCCAGAGTGTTGGGGCGTGGGTGGCGCTGACAGACAGCAAGAAGCAGAGAGAGAGAGAGAGCACGAGACTGTACTGTGCTGTGCTCTTCTTCTCTAAACTCTAAACTAACCGAACTTAAATCCCCCATATTTTTTTATGTATTAAAAGATGCCCCTTGTCGGCTCTCTCTTTCTCTTTCTTTCCTCATGCCACGCCATTGATCCCCACACTATATTTATTTATTTATTTTTCCTTGTTTGTTACATTACTCTCTTTCTTTTTCTGGTCTTCTTTCATATCCTTATCCTCACAGAAGAATATTGCTAATCATTGCAACCAAACACAACTTAATTGGTCTCTCAATAATCTAGCTTTGTCGCTTGACCTTTGCCACTTGCATTTAGACACACAAATCAATCGGCTACAAGGTGATTTATAGATGATTAATTAGCAAGGAGAGAAATTAAGTTCGTTTTGCTTTATATAATTTGATAATTATAGTGCAAGATTAATAATAGAAAAATAATTTAGACACTTTTTATCTTGATACATATCAATACTTAATTAATTTAGTCATTAAAATGTAATATAAATATAATTAATTTTTTATATTGTATGTATGATTATATTTTTAAATTTTTTTAATTTAGATTTGTCTAACTTAGATCCTAAGACACAAATTAAGGGTACAATAATACACTTTTTTATAATTAAGTTACATAAAAAATTATAAAAAATGACATATATTTTAATAGGGCTATGATTGGTGCATACCCAGATTCAACATCTGGGTGTGCACACTTCACATAAAAAAAAAAAAAAGGATCGGGTGTTCTCCATTTTTTTTTTATACGGAGTGTGTACGCCTGAGTGTTGAATCCGGGTG